GGGTTCTGGTCGTGGTGGAGGCCTAGCTGTTGTTTTCAGAGACCATCTTCCATGTAGCTCTACAACCTCTGGTCACTTTTGCTTCCTTTGAACTGCAGCTGATTAAAGTCGGGCGTAAGGACCCGTTCTACTGTGCTGTGGTCTATCGTCCACCTGGTCCAAACGGTTCTTTCCTTCAGGAGTTTAGTGACTTTCTATCCTCCACTGTGAAGCTGTCCAGACTGGTGATTGTTGGTTACTTTAACATCCACGTTGATGATCCCTCCGATCTCTTCGCCATGAATTTCTCCAGCCTCATGGACTCCTTCAGCTTTACCCAGCATGTTTCTGGCCCCACACACACACCAGGGGACACACTCTAGACCTTGTTTTTACCCTGAGTCTAAATGCTGACGGTGTTTGTCCTGAGGACGTTTATATTTCAGATCACCATTGCATTTTCTTTAACTTGTCAGTTTCTGCGTCCCCACCTCCTGCTCGCCGTATGGCTAGTTCTCGTTTTCTTAATGAGAGCACAGCTAGCTAATGTTCTGCTGCTTTTGATCCACCCTGTTCTTCTGATACCGACCCAGATTCCTTACCTTCTCAGTTCAACGAGCACTGCCTCTCCATTCTGGACAACATCTGTCCTGTCAGAACCAGATCAGTTCCTGCAGTGAACCCTACTCCCTGGTTTAATGACAGCCTTCACAGCCTGAAGCACCAATGCAGAAAAATTGAACGTTTGTGGAAGAAAACCCATCTCCACGTCCATCTGCTGCACCTAAAGCATCTTCTGACATCCTTTAACTCTGCAGTCAGAGACGCTAGGGTTTCCTATTTCTCCAACCTGGTGTCCCAGAGCAAAGGGAACCCCAAGGTGCTGTTTAACACCATCAGCAGCATCGTCTCTCCTGCCTCTCCTACAGCCTCCATCCACTCTGTTGCAGACTGTGAGAACTTTCTGTCTTTCTTTGTGGACAAAGTCAATAAGGTTAGATCTAGCATCTCTCCTTCAGCCTTATCGCCGCCTCTCCCGACTCCAACCAGGCCCATCATCCTAGATAGCTTTGCTCCTGTTTCTTTGCCTGAGTTAACCAAACTAGTTCACTCTATGAAGACCTCTGCATGCCCCCTCCACATCTTACCCTCATCTTTGTTTAAAAGTGCTTTTCAGTCCATCGGTCCCAGCGTGCTCTCTATAATTAATGCTTCTCTGGTCTCTGGTCAGGTCCCTGCTTACTTTAAGAATGCTGTAATCCACCCGCTTCTTAAAAAACCGAGTCTCGACCCCTCTCTCCATAGCAGCTTCAGACCCATCTCTAAACTTCCGTTCATCTCCAAGATCTTGGAAAAGGTTGTGGCTAAACAACTCACAGCTGCTCTTGATGAACATAACATCTATGATAGCTTCCAGTCAGGTTTTCGTAGAGCTCATTCTACTGAAACAGCTCTTCTTAGGGTCTCTATTGACCTTCTGACTCACAGTGATGCAGGGGACTGTTCTGTTCTGGTCCTGCTGGACCTGACTGCAGCCTTTGACACTGTTGACCATCACCTGCTACTGGAGAGGCTGAGAGACTGGGTAGGCCTATCAGGATCTGCTCTGGAGTGGTTCTCCTCTTATCTCTCTGAGCGCTCCTTTTCTGTGGCCGTCTCCAAGTTTAGGTCCTCCACCACCTCTCTTACCCATGGTGTCCCACAAGGTTCTGTGCTGGGGCCTCTGCTCTTCCTCCTCTATCTGCTTCCTCTTCAGCACATCCTGAGCTCCTTCAAAGGAATCTCCTACCATCTTTATGCAGATGACATCCAACTGTACATCTCCTTTAAGCCCCATGAGATGTCTAAGCTGCAGCTGTTACACACCTGCTTAGACTCTATCAACACCTGGATGGTGGGAGCTTTCTTCAGCTGAATGAAAATAAGACTGAGATCCTCATCTGTGCCCCAGACAAGCTGGTTCCCAAAGTCAGAGACTCTCTTGGTCAGCTTGCTTCTCACACCAAACCTTCCGTCAGGAATCTTGGTGTGACCTTTGACCCAGCTCTCACCCTGGATTCTCATGTCAGTTCTCTTGTTGGCTCTTCCTTCTTCCATCTCAGGAACGTTGCTAAGCTGAGTCCCATTCTGTCTCGCTGAACTTGAGACAGTTCTCCACACCTTCATCTCCTCACGCTTAGACTACTGTAACTCTCTTTTCACGTGTCTGAGCAGAACCTCCCTGAACCGTCTACAGGTGGTTCAGAACGCCTGTGCTCGGCTTCTGACCAAGTCCTCCAAACACACCCACATCACCCCGCTTCTCCTCCAGCTTCATTGGCTGCCAGTCAACTTCAGGGTTCATTTCAAGATCCTGGTTCTGGTCTATAGGGCCTTACATGGACAAGCACCATCTTACATTGGTGATCTTCTCAGTCCCTACACCCCCAGCAGGTCCCTGAGGTCCAGTGACCAAAGCCTACTGGTTGTGCAGCACCAGGCTAAAGGTCAAAGGTGACAGATCATCTGCTGCTGTGGCCCCCAGACTCTGGACCTCTCTCCCCCTGAGCCTGAGATCAGTGGACTCGGTGGTCTCCTTTAAAAAGCAGCTGAAGACTCACTTGTTCAAGCTGGCTTTTGTATGACCTTCTTCACCTCTCTCTCTTTATTCTGCTCTCCCCACCTATTCCACCTTCCTCAGGATCCACTGGTTTCCCTCTTTCCTGTTCACTCTCTCTCTTTCTTTACATTTTTAATCACAATTGTCTATTTTTGCTCATTTTAAATATATTTTTAAACATTTTATAATTTTTTTTTTTATATTTTAACATTTTTTTGTTGTTTTTGTGAAGCGCCTCGTGGTTTTTATCTTGAGAGGCGCTATAGAAATTATATGTTTTTCTTCTTCTTCTTTTGGGAGTGACGATGATGTTTCGCGCTACGCTTTGATTTGGAGATTCATAAACACATGAAGACGCCATTCTGTCGGTCTACGTACCCTTGGCGGAAGTCCCCGTTAGATCAGGAATGTCGAGGTCCAGCTTGACCCTCTCTGGAACCGAAGCCGGTAGGAAAAGCAGCGGTTGCCGACCAGACCAGTCTTGAGATACTTCCGGGTCACGACAGTTTTGTTGGTATCTAACCAGACCCAAAAAGGGGTCGTGATGGTTCAGCTTTTATTCTGAAAGGAACCGTTGCAGCAGGTGGAACAGCAACAGGTTTTATCCATCTTGTCGTTGGTTCTTTGGGCTGAAGAGGAAAGTTACGGATCGGCCACTCCGACACTTCTCTAGAACGCTTTGAACTGGCGTTAAAGATGACGTGGGCGTGGTTTTATAACTCGGATGTTTTGGTTTATGGTCGAATGAAAAGATGACAGATTTACCAAACACCAACAAAACCCCGCCTCCGTCAGTTCTGGAAGGTTCTGATTGGATCAGAAAAGTAAATGTGTCATGTGATTCTTAATATTACGTGTGATCAGACCCCAGTGGAAACATTTAAAGTCATATTACTTATTATAACTATGTTCATAAACATTGTCATTGCACAGATTGGTTCACATGTTATTATTGGTTAACACTGTTTGATTAGCTTATTAAAGTAGAGGAAGAGTTCTTCTGGTTTATTAAACAGAAAGAGTTCGTCTTCTTCTTTTCTTCAGCTGGAAAATAAGAAAGGAGCAGAGCTGAGACCCTGAGCGTATCTCATGCAGACTAGTTCTTGTCAGGAACCTCTGGTTCTGCTTTGAGCAGAACAAAACGGAGCAGGGCCTTTTGGGTCAGACGCTACGTAGCTATGATGGTGCAGGGACAGACAGGCTCATCTGGCTCTCCAGCAGCGGTCCTTCAGACTCAGAACCAGTTAGTACATTGGGAAGTGACCAGTTTATCTTTCTCTCTGCAGCCTGTCCATCGGGTCACTTTAAAGGCAGCTCAGGAAGCACCGGCTGCACTTCCTGTCCCGCTAATAGCAACACACTGATCCCAGGCTCCGCCTACTGCCCATGTCTCCCAGGTTACGACCGGGCCGACTCGGACCCGCCTCACGCCGCCTGCACCAGTAAGTTCATGTCCCTTGTTCTGTTCTCATCCAGACATTCCTTCTCTTCCCTCCTGGATCACCTTCAGGATCCCATTTCCTACCATGCACCTGGTGATCTAACGCCTCTGCCTTTGTCAGCGTGTAAGCTGAGCTCCATGTGAACATCAGCTGCCTTCACACACACACACACACACACACACACACACACACACACACACACACGCACTCGCACACACACACACACACACACACACACACACACACACTCGCACACGCACACGCACACGCACACACACACACACACACACACACACACACGCACGCACGCACGCACGCACACACACACACACACACACACACACACACACTCGCACACGCACACGCACACACACACACACACACACACACACACACACACACACACACACACACACACACATTCTTGTATTTATACCCATGTTAGGACTTTGTATTGACTTCCATTCATTTTAGTGAGTCCACTATGCCTAACCTTAACCCTAACCCTAACCTTAACCAGTGTATTCCTAAAGTTATCAGTGATAAAAACTCAAATCACATCTTATCTCTAGACCTCACCCCTAGGGAGTGCTCCGTACCTGGTTTTGGTCCTAACAAGGACCATCGGTCGCAAGAAGGTTAGTAAATATCCCAAATCCGGTCTTCACAAGGGTACAAATACAAGCCCACACACACACATCTACACCCACACACACACATCTACACCCACACACATTCCATTTATGTGATAGAGCACATTTAAAAACAGCTGACCAAAGTGCTGTACAGGGGTGAAAACATATAAGGTTGAAAGAACAGTGTAAATAAACCTAGATAAGAGAGCTAGGCAGTAACAGCAAGGGAATAAAAGTAAGTCTTTAAGTGAGACTTAAAACCTCCAATGGAGGAGGAGAGTCTGATGTTCAGCGGGAGATCATTCCAGAGTTTCAGAGCGCAGACAGAAAAAGCTCGTTCACCAC